GGCCACCGCTGGCTGCCAGCCGCCGTCAGACACAGCCAGAAGTGATGGACGCTGGAGATACGGTCAATTAGTGGGTCATTACTGTAAGCCGGCGTCGGAGCCTGGATGAGGGGATTTACAGCTGGGCTGAGGCCAATCGCAGAGCTCATGAGGTGTACGGGATGATTTGTGGGAGATATGGTCCATGTAGGGAGGGCCTTACAGGTGGGGGCGGGGCATGGTCCATAAATGTAGGGACCGTACTGATTCTGAACGGTGAGGGCCATGTGAGGACCGCGCTGGTCTGCAGGCGACATGGTCCACGGACAGATCGCGCTGCACGGCCTCATTAGAGTCTGGACGGACCGTGCCGGTCTTTGGGCGCCAGGGATGCGCCGTCACGCGCCATGCACTGCCGTAAGCGTGCACTCTCACGTAATCTGCTCATGGACAGGCAGCAGCTCAGTGGAACGTCCCGACCCACTAAGCTGCTGCCTTTCCTGGTGATCAAGGTCACAGGTACCAAGGTCAAAAAGGTCACAGGTAACACTGACGGAGCAAGGGGGAATTTATTTATATGAACTGCTTTTTGACAGTTGATAACCGATCAAATGAAAGATGTAGGATGAAATAAATCACCAAATTACTACCCACTATCCAGCCAGGGGTGTAGAAAGCATGCGATTCTCGTCTAAAATGAGTCACTAACCAGCACAAGAAGAGTGAGGAATTGGACACAAATAAGAGACACGGAGCATTGCCTGTCTAATTAAGGTGAACAAAGTGTTTAAAATCACAGTCAATTACACTACGAGCACTGACAATGCACGCTCAAACTCTGGGTACCGAGAGTCACAGTTTATGCCGCCGGCATGTCTTTCAAGAACTGCCGGTCCGCTGAGGCGACCCCAGTTCTGGGGACCGCGCCGATGGGAGTCCCAGTACCGCGAGCTAATCGGGACGGCTGTGTGGCGAGCCAGTGAACCGAACAGCCCACTGGGTGTTTGCCGTTTGCGCAAATTCGGTCATAGGGCGTGCACGCTCCGTAGCTATATTTTCGTCCTTGTGCGTAGTTATGCCCGGCTTATAAAAACAATCTAGCAGAGCAGAGTACTGTCTTATCCGGATCGCAGATAGGATCGGGAACTAAGTGTACTCCAATGGATGTACGAGCTTTGACATTTAATCCACGTGCAATGTGCACGGTCGGAGGGAAGTCCATGATCAGTACAGCACACATGAACCATTGCAACCTAACTGGTGAAACTTGAGTACCTATTGGAATCGGACTGTCGTGATATCAGAGGCGTGTTTTTCTTCGGAAAGTCTGAAGAAAAAACAGCTTACTTAGCATCCAGGTCGCAATCCAATAAAACTAAGAACTGCTTAACAAAATAATCCTGGAATTTGACGATTGGTGGTTTAACAGCAATCAACTACTCTTACGAGGAAAGCGCGATTTTAGAGTAAATTAAGGTAGGCGGTGCATTAGAAGAAGGGTTTCATAAGTCATCCTGTGTGATGCGATTATGGAATATACAGTTTCCAAGTTGGCTAATGGAAAAAAGCATCACATCACGATTTTACTGCTTTGAAAAGCGATCTGATTTGAAACGCATCCGAAGCTTTATCAAGAGCATTGTCATGCAAAACTTCAACAAAAAATAAATAATGCACTTCGCAGTCCTGTAAGCTGTCCTTACTCCGCCCATAAGAAGGCAGATTGAAGACAGCAATGACGTCATCAAGCGGCAAATAATTCCGACTTAAGTGCTTCCGTGTTCTGGGCTGGGCGCGTCGTGAACTATCAAAGAGCTCGCGCCGCGTACATTACAATCGTCTGAAAACTCCTCCAGTACACGAGCGATAGCCAAGCGCCATTTACTTATGGCTATCGTAGCCTGCACAATGCACATGTCAGCCACGAGTGACTTCATATTCCAGGAAGTAAGTGACTTCCGGGCTAAAAATCCATTGTTTATGTGGCTGGCAAATGTCATGTAATCAGAGTTCGGTTCGCATTACCGCTGCTTCCGGCATCAGGTTCGGAGAGACCGCCGAGCGAGCGTAGCTAGTTAGGGCTCCACACGTGCCGGTAACGACGTCCACGTGACGTTATGAGCCATAACGTCACGTGACGTGACGTGAGAGATAGGTCACCCGAGGTTGGTGGGGCGCTGGCTGAAGGGATGTCTGCTGAAGGGATTCCATTGGTCTGTGTGCGGCTACACTGACCAATGGAACGTGCGTCAGACGAGAACGTTGTAAACGGCGGAACAATGAGGCCACCCTCTCTGACGCAAAGACATGGAAATCAGAAGCAAAAAAAAAAAAAAAACACCAAAAATGATGCAAATACACACGATTACCAAAGACCACATGTCAGGTGATAGCTATTGATGATATAACACAACTTTGCTCTAAGGACTTTTGCCATAAACTGACGACTGCGTAGTGTGAAGCTGTTGCCTTTCATGCCAAAAATGGTGCCCAATCTTCGTATCCCAGCGGATCCTACCCGGAACGCGACGGTGCGAACGGACTAGTATAAAATCTGCCTCAAGCTGTCTGTGTGCGTGAACGAGGCAAAATGGACAAAGAAGCGATCCACAACACTTCAAGCCTGCGAGGAGGAAAAAGAGGTTCATGAAGCGGGTGAATGGTCCCTAATGAATCGCCTGTGATGCCACTTTTATTCCATCACAAATCTTCATCTGGCATTTCTACGAATTTACGTCGGGCACATTTTTAACCGCACATATTTTCTGTCTTTGCATCACATTTTTGAATCAACCTAACCCAAGAAAATACATTTATTTTGTGCATTATATTTCTAGCTATATTTATTACGAGCGAGCGAGCGCACCGAGCGAAGTGAGCCTTTTCAATATAACGGAAAAATCTCAGTATGAGCGGCCCGGCCCGGCCCGGCCTGTAACGCTTTTGAGAGGCTTATATCTCAGCAACCGCTGGACCGATTGGCCTGCGGTCTTTTTTGTTGGGTAGCCCCATCCCTTCTACCCCGTAAATGACTACTTTTGATACATCTCAGTGACCGTCGTAGCACGTGCCACGTGAAAAGTCAAGGGTGTTCAAGCTGTTTTGCAAAAGTAGTGATTTTGAGAGGCTCGTATCTCAGCAGCCGCTTGGGCGATTGACTTGCGGTAATTTTTGTAGGGTAGCAGCATCCCTTCTACCCAAAATAGGATACTCTCGATGTATGTGGGTCACCCCCAGTGCACGTGCAAAATACAACAATAAGAGGTGCCAAATTTGTTCCCTTTTCAGTAACTCGGTAATTACTGGGGCGATTTCGCTGAAACTTGGCATACAGGTAGGCACCCACCAGGCATGCATTCCCATGTGTTGCGGTTATGGTGCCACTGCACGTGCGCACGTGCAGGGAGCGTTTCCAGATCTCGAGAACGGCTGGGCCGATTGCGCTCAAATTTGGCACACGGTTGGGGACCGGTTAGTAGATAGGGTGCCGTGCAAAAGTCATTTTGGACCCCGTTTGCACGTGCGCACGTGCAGAATGCCGCTTCCAGATCTCAGGAACGGCTGGGCCAATTGCGTTCAAATTTGGCACACCGCTAGCGACCGGTTAGAAGGGTGCTTTGTCCAAGCCCGTTGGAAGTACCCTCTCGCCCTTCCGCACGTGCAGGGCTCACTATCTCGCTCGCTCGTTCTTCGCCCAAAAGGCGTTTTACTGGTTTATCATGTATAGTGTTAGTCTGACTTCCAAGAAATGCCCAGAAATGCCAACAAAGATTTGGGACTCAGATTTGCAAGATTTCTTTTTAATAAATTTAGTCCGAACCTTTTGATAGGAAAGATTTCCTACAAGGAGAGAGCCACCGCTAAGCGAAGCTTGTTGCGGTGACCTTGCCCTCTACCCTCCGATCTCGCAATTCCAGTTCTATGGCAGAATTTAGAGTTTAGACTTTGGAGTCCAATGTTAAACGTGCGCACATGGCCGCGCACGGCCGGTCCCCTCACTGACTATGCCTGGCTACGGCCTGCCACCAACCGCAAACATACCTGTCAGGAGGCCCATAAACGTCAAGCGCCCTTTGCGCTTCGAACCCGGACTGTTATAACCGGGAACGCGTGCTCTCATCACGCGGAGTTCAACGCTCTACCAACTGAGCTACAGGACCGGCTTCACACACACAAAAAAAACAGACAAATATTTGTCTGAATGCCCACTATTTTTGGTAAACTGGACAGTTTCTGGCTACAATGAGGCATTTATTAAGGACAAATATGGTGTCTTATCCAATGCTCAAAAATTGTGCAATGCACACACTGAATGTAAGTTTTAGTTTGATAGGGTAGCTGAATGAATACATAAGTATGCATTGGAGAAAAGGGTCACACATGGCCTGGATAAATGTAGCAGAAAATAGGTGCTTAATATTGTGAATCTGGTGTTAAATTGAGCAGTCATTGAATAATCTGACTAAATAGAAAATCTGACAACTTGGAGCTCTATGTCAGCATTTTCATTCAATAGCCAGGTACAACAATTTGAAGTAATTCAGGTTTTTTGGGTCATAAAGAAATGAGGTGCTGAAAAAAAAAATATTTTTAGGGATGAGAAAGAAATAAAGTTTAACCTAAATAAGCTTTCATGGTAATTGTTTAACTGGAACACAGCCTGTAGGTACCAATTGATTTTGGCACAGGTAATCGTAATTTTGTCTAATACATTTTATTTGTAACATTTCTCTTTCTTCCTAAGCTTCTTTAACAGTATAACTTAGTCCCATTTTTTGCAACACACGACTGTCAGGTGTGCTAACTCAGATAAAGCTGTACAATGCACTGTCATCAAAACAATGCTCATTGAAGCTTAAACTGAGACAGCTGAGGCTTTATTTACATAAGATTAAGCATTGTCCAGCAGTGTATCAGTATGTGTATGACAGATACATATAACAGGCATGATAAAACAAGTGCATCAGGCAGCTACTCTACATTGTATATGTCATGCTGATTATCATAAACATAACACTTACCAATTCAAATTGGAACTGTAACAGCAGACGCCAGCGGCCGGAAACCTTGCGATTTGGATTCAAGCTTCGTTGCCAGGTTGCCTGTGCCTTCTAGATTCCAAACGAAATAGCACACTAATTAAATATAAGGTTTGGATTGAAGATGATTTTTAACAAGGTAAATTACTACACTTATAGAAGGTACCTACTCAAAATCCACAACGATTACCGCCAGGCCCAAGGCTATAAACATGCGTCCCAAAAAAAATTGCATGAAGGGACTTCGTCACAGCTGCGCTTTTATTGACGTTTCAAGCAGATATCATGTACTTTATTGATAAAATATTTTTGTGTCGATCTTTTTTAAATTTGTACATATTTGAAGGCTTGTGTCATACATTCATTTTCATATTTAATCTTTTGAATTTTTCAACGACATGATTTTTTCACTTGTCAGCATGAGAAAGCTTATATTTCAAGATTTTAAAACGCCAGATAAAATATGGCGGCGCCCATAATGCTGTTACGCTTGTGACGCAAACTGAAATAGAGTGATGAAATATTTTCTGTGGTCGTTGAAAAATGGACATGCCTAAGAGCTGGACTTTTTGCACGCGTTCCCCGCCAGGGGGCGCCACTGAGGAAGCACCCTCTGACGTCACGATAAAACTGCGCGCACTGTGCGCACGGTTCTGTAAGCAAGTAATATAGTGGTGGTTTCATGGTGGAAATTAGAATAAGTATTTTGACGTTGTAAAATTTCAAGCCGTTTTTGTGAAATTTATTACTAAATGCATTTCAAAAGTATTTATTTAAAGTGTGAAAGGAGAATAATTAGAAGAACATGCATATTTTTGCTCCAATAGCTTATTATGTGAGACATGATCGGTACTAACGGGTACTTCTAAGAAGTAGTGAAGAAGTACCAAAGCGCCTGCTCGGCTACGATCGTCAGCTGTCCTTTGGAGCTGGACTTCAACGCTGTAAAAAAAATATGTGCTGAATTTATTTTTAGTTTCACCAAAATATAAGCAATTTATCATTTCCTTTTCACTTTTGTAATTATTGTTGAGTGAAGAGACATGTTGCTAGTTCTGACAATATAAATTATTAACTAAAAAAACGAAATGCGACGGTAAGTATCTGCTACTAAATTATCACTTTAACCAAATACATGGAGAATCTTGCTACCATTGCTTATAAAACGTGCTTATCAATACACAAATGTTTTATTTCAGACAAGAAGGATTTATTTGCCTGAAGTCTTACGTCATGTGCTACTGCTTTGATTCCAAAGACGCTCTCCGGGTCGGGGTAATTTAGTTCTTCATCGATCGATAAGAGATTTTGATTCCATTGATATCCAAATTGATAAGCTCGGCACCATGGAGTAAGGGCGTCCCCACAGGGGTGACGCAGGAAATATGAATGGCGTTTACACCGACAGTAGTTTCCCACAGCCGGCAATGGGAATCTCCTGTCGGTGTAAACGCCACTATAGTCCCATCCAACTCAAACACTGGGGAATATCCCCGCACTTTTGAGGACGGAAATCTATGGACCTGAGGCCTCTTGCACCAAACTACCTAGCTAGGTAAAATCGAAAAACCGGTTTCAGAATAAGCTAATCTAACGGTGGTAAATTTGTTTGCAATAGCCCAATACATTATCCTACATGTGCTTGCTAAATTTTGCACGCTAATTGTTACATTTGAGACTTGGACTGGGTATACGATGCAAAATAATCCAAGCATTGGTGCAAGAGGATTTTGGTGCAAGAGGCCTCTGCTCGAAAAATAGTGGATAAAATACGGCGAGCTTTCAGTTTTATGGTTGGGTCTCCCTTCCGAGGCACATATTTACGAGGGATATTGGGTCATATTCCCCCGGCGTCCTGATGATCGGCGCCCAGCTCACCGTCGAAGGCGCCCTGATACGCGGCACTGCTATCTGTGAAGGTGCCCAGGTTGCTGCCGCTCGAATTTTGGTCGCCTACTTAACAAAACCTCCGTTGGTGCCATCTCAGTTTCCTCGAGGTCAGGCAACCTTCACACGCCGTTGGCTACCTTGGCTGGCCGGCGACTCGTTCCCCTCGTGGCGACGCTCTTGACATCCAGTCAAAAGTTGGAGTGGCTGGCGCCCCCAGTGGGGGCCGGGGAAGGGGCAGTGGGCCTCCACGTTGCTCTCTTCCCGAGCCTATGGTGACTTGGCTCAACTCTCCTCAATAGAATCTGGATTCTGCACGCTGTATGAACATGGGCGTATTGTATTGTATTGTATTGAGCAATCATGAGCGATCCACATTCTGAAAGTGCGTGGCGATTACTGCTCAGACACCACTACGGACAATACGGACAGTGGGTGTGACAATCAGTAGTGCCATTCATATAGAGGGTGTCATATATGAGCGGAGAGGCAACAGTACAGCTGAGCGGAGAGACAACATTAAAACAACAGTACAGCTGGCGTTGCATGGAGCTGCAGGCAACCGGACAGCGGAAGCTTGCGAAAAATAAACAATTTGTCACTTCAACGTATAAACAATAGTATAAAAAGCAGCATAAACACATATTCTCATGGTCGAACCCATGCACTAGCGGCTCACGGCGGGCACAGGCACGCAGTGCGGTAGCGGTACCGGATCACACGTCATGGGCGTTGTCTCAGCATAGTTTGTTATGAGCGGAGAGGCAACAGCACAGCTAAGCGGAGAGACAACATTAAAACAACAGTACAGCTGGCGTTGCATGGAGCTGCAGGCAACCGGACAGCGGAGGCTTGCGAAAAATAAACAATTCGTCACTTCAACGTATAAACAATAGTATAAAAAGCAGCATAAACACATATTCTCATGGTCGAACCCATGCACTAGCGGCTCACGGCGGGCACAGGCACGCAGTGCGGTAGCGGTACCGGATCACACGTCATGGGCGTTGTCTCAGCATAGGTTATTCGCAATCTAGTTGAAGCCTAAGAAGACGGCCAGTGGGGTCTCACTGCTGCTGAGGCGACCTCGGAGACGATGCGTCGCCCTTCCTGTCGGCGACCTGCGGTGAGCAGGACTCCAGATAGCTGTCTGGCACGTTGCCGACACTGCCAGACGCTGTCAGCAGGCCTCACTGCTGCAAGTGATGTGCAGATGGACGCCAGGTGACTTCGTCTGCAGGCGATTCCGGAGACCGCGGCCTCACCAGGCAGCGCCACCTGCATCGCCATGTCGGTGTTTCTAGAAATGGAAAAATAACAGTATCGGCGAAGGACAAGCAATACAATGTATTCTGTTTTCCTCTCTTGCAGGTATACGTAATCTACAATTATCATTGTTCCTATTTCATTCAACGGAACCTGAAAATTCCATATTGGCACATTGTTTGATTAAATTTGTGTAGTTGGGAACAGGGGCGACGCCACGGTGCGACGACTGGAGGGGACATTGACCATTTTGGAGGGGACGAGGACCATTTCAAGTCGATTCTTTCCATGCAACGCCATAGGCGTAATGTTAACATTTTAAAAAGTGGAGGGGACGAGATCCCCTCCGTCCCCCCCCCCCTGTGGTGACGCCCTTGGTTGGGAAGCAGATTCTGATTGTTTGAAATACATGTTTGGCTGAACAGTGCGGAAAATATTTCATTGATCACTATAGCTGCAACAAAAATACTGAGACAGAAAACATTTGCGCTTACCTGGCTCCTTAGTCAGTCCCGCACAACGGAAGTGGTACCATTTATCGCAGCCATCGCATCCGACCATCGGTGCTGCACTGATGCTGCTGCACTCCCCACATTCCCAGTACCTTAGGAGCGTCTTGGCTGTGAAAAGATTACATGAGTCATGGCGCATACATGAATAGTAAGATGTTTTATATGTTTAACATCACATAGCAAAGACACAACAGCTGGGAGTCGAGTGTAAGGACTTTTGACAATGGTGTTTGAACTCAGTGGGGTGAGGTTTGGTTGGTCAAGAGTGGTCATTTTTAGCAATACTGTTTTTGACTACAGCTTTGCTAAGTATGACTACGGTGATGATGCCATAGTAATCAAATTTGACCACCATTATACCAATTTTGCACCCTGGTGGAGAAAACACAAGTTTCAGGTTAAGGGAAGTAAGATAGGAAAGTTATTCCGGCAGTTCTTAAAAGAAGACAAAGAATCTTGATTCTGGCTGTTGTGAATGGGGGTCCAAGGTTGAACAGAGCCAGCATTTGGCGCTGAAATTCAAAGTTTTGAACACAATGAAAAAAGATGCTTGATATCACTATAAAAGTTTATTTCAGGGGGAAATGGATGCATTCACGTAAAAGCGCACAAAAGTACTCTAGCAAAGTGGATTACTTAGGTACTGAAAATATCTTGCCAAACCGCTGTTCAGAATATCAAATCTGACAAACAGAATTTTCAATGGCCATTAAAATAATATCATATCACCATTTTCCCAGTGAGTGTTGTCATTTTAACTTTTATGCTAGAAAAGCTTTGCTAAAAATGACGCTTGACGAAGCCTCATCCTACTGGGCTGTCTGACATGTCTCCCTGTAAAAAACATGTGGCCCTTATATTGTATATATGATGAATATGTTAATAATGCAGAGAAAACACAGTATAAATTATACCCAACGAATGTCGTCGAATACTGAAGTTACACATTTGTCTTTTCTGCGGAGCATTTGTGTCTGCCATTTACCGCACCAATGTTCGCCAGCGGTGGTGACTTTTCCTTACCTGCTCACGAAACGTCACACACGACATGACGTCACCCGAAGACGTCATCAAAAAGTCCAGCTCTTAGGCGTGTCCTGAAAAATTCACAGTCACTGTGGGCTCTGTGGGTAATATCCATTATAGAATTCGGTGGTAATATCCAAGTAATATCAGTCGGAACGATACGATCATACCAATACAGGTCTTTTGTTTGCTTGGAATTTGTTTGCTGTTGGAGCGAAACATCTGTACAGCAAGGCCATACAAGAGGTTTATATAGCCTTGATACAAGATTTGTTCTGGTGAGGAATTAAGGCCGCATTATTTAGGTTAGATTAGTTTCTAGCTAGTTAGGTAAGTCGGGCCAGGCGTAGGTTCAGGGCCGATCGTGTGACATCTGGCATCTTTGTGTGACGCCAGGCTTACCCCCAAAATTAGTTTTTTGCAATGGATTTATGATTTTCTATGCTCAAAATGATCAGCAAAGAAAGTAAAACCTTTTACAAAAGAGATGATTTTCTATATTTTGATATAGGAAGAACTTTATTCTACATAAAATATTGGTTGACGCAGAAGCTTATTGCGTGTTGATCAGTGATATTGCATAGTACAAACCCATTGGCTGTAATCAGCATGCTGAATGGCTGATGCCTGATGATGACATGGCTTCATTCCTCAGCAAGGCACTCATTCCTCTGCAAGGCACTGTTTTCAGAAGGAGAAACAGAGTATCTCCGTCTAGGATGATCATTGGTTTGTAAAAGCTTCTGATTTGTGGTAGTCTTAACTCAAAACTGCTATTCCAGCTCAAAACCCCATGTTAAAAGTAAACTATTTCCTTTACTGGTTCAGTGTTTAGGTAGTTACATCTCGAGATTCCTCTTTTTGGTGTATGTTTATTGCTTAGATAGGTGCTTCCTTGTTCTTGTGATATGACCGATCTTTTTTCATTTCAGGGCAGTTATGAAGGAGCAGTTACTGACCATCGCCTCTATAGTTGCATCACTGGCAGTTGTTTTGGCATTTGTTGCCCTTGGTAAGTTACACCTCCATGAGGCCGTTGTACAACACTTTAACTAAATTTATAATTTTGTTTAAACAGGTGCCAGGAAGGAAGCCAGTTATTATGAAAATCGCTTTGTATTTATGTCATTTGACATCATATTCTATTGTCCACAGGCTGGTACATTGTCTGGAAGTGTTTCCTGTCTCGGTTCAAGTTTGTGCGGGAGATGCTGGATGCCGGACGTGAGCCCTCCCCAGAAGCGGCGGAGCTGCGGCGTGTCAGACAAAGGACCAGCAGGAGAGTGCGGCGCGAGTGACTGGTCAAGACTGGGCCTCGGGCTGACCTGGGGTCGCCACCACACACCGGGCACGGAACTGGATCCCCCCAGTGGATCATACTGCCACAGCACTGTGTGGGATCCAGCCACCAGTCGAACGGTGTCTGGAGTATCGATGGACAAATTTGGCACTGCTTGGGTACAGAGATGAAGATTTCCACCCAATGCTGCCGGTGGATGAGTACCATATTCGGCCACTGTTCTGTAGCAATGATGTAATTTAGCGGTGGGGAAAGAGGGCAACCGTAGCATGAAGCTCCTCTTTAGGTAGCTACACGCCAAAGTAGACAAATGGATCTTGCTGGATAGTGAACTGTATTGGGCTTGAAGGTACTGCAGTGCTGCTTCAATAGGATTGAGCACTTACCAAATGTTTCTGCGTGATCGTGGCCAAGGAAAATGTCGCTTTTCCGATGTCGATTTTTTTTCCATTGTCGCAGTGCTTTGTTTACATCATCGAATCTAATGAACTCCTGCCGGTCATTTATTCAATTCTGAGCGCCACGCATAATAATGTGCATTCTGTCTGTTACTGCTGCTCTTGATTATGTGCATCTCCCGACTGACCCGGTGAGGCTTGGTGTATCTCGAACGAGTCTAGGGATTTTCCAGATTCACTCAATTTCCAGATTGTGCATGTTTTCCGTCGTGTTTGTGTCCTCTGGAAGGGGTTTCAGCCGTGGACTGTTTGGTATGTGCGATACGTTACGCGGATTCTAGTGTGGGGACTGGGCTACTCAGCGGTATCGGTGTTACTGTTCCAGTGTGGTGGCTGTGCCGGCTTATTGCTTCCCCACCGGTTGGTCTCGTGAGGGCGGGGAATGATGGCCTGCAATGTCGTATCCGGTTTGACTTGTGTGTGCGGTAAATGGAATGTGCCAGTGTATATTTTTATGGTGATAAATGGGCGATTTCGTACCACTTTTTTATTTATCGGAAGCACACTATCGACAAACACCTGCGCTGTCCTGTCAGCTCGCGGAATTAGTCGTTCTTATTCGGTGAGGCGTCACATAAAGCGTGCAAAGCATGTTAACCGGCCGTGACATAGCTCAGAATGGCTGCACAAAGTCCACATCATCAAAAACAGTTAGACAGCGAATATTTTCAGCAGAGGTCGCCCTCCTGGGCCGCACAATATTGATTCACGTGCCTGTCCAGCACGGCTGCAGCCTCGGCCAGCACCTGTGTCGCGTCCGCCATCTCTCGGACGGCATCACAACTATCGTTTCGTCCTCCGGCCGCGGCCGCCTTGGTGGCGCTGAGGGTCCGCCGCAGGGCCACAAACAGCCGATCGGAGGCGGTCAGAGTCCTCCAGCCGGCGCTGCAGTCGCCGGCGGCGGCTCCGACCTCGTCACCGACCATCACCAGCCGGTGAGCGCTCAGCACGACGAACTTGCAGAGCGCCGGGAGCACAGAGACGGGCTGCCGGTCGTGTGCGGCGCGCATCAGCTGACCGAGAGCCTCCCGGAGTTGGCGCCGGTGGCAGCCACTCTGACTGCGCTGGAACGAGGACAGAGGGTCGCCGTCGCTGGGAGAGATGAATAGGGGTGGTAAGCAGTGTCCTTGGTTAGGAAGACTACGGTGGTGAAGGGAGGGAAAACTATTTGCACCGCCGAGACCGAACAAAGGAAGTTGAGAGGTCAGCGTCATCACAGCCGTCTGCAGATCTTCAATGCCGTCATCCCCACCCTCTCTGGAACCATCTGAAGACTCCAGTGTCCACCCGGCCGCGTCCTGTTGGCTTACAGCTCTGTCCAGCTGACGGCTGGCGTCTCGTAGCGGCTTCAGGGCACGCTCCAACGCCGCCTGCTCGGGTGCCGTTCCTGTCGCGCAGTCGATGAATAGGAGCAGATCCTGCAGAGCTGAGTGCAGCCGAGTGACGTTTAGTTGGAAGGAGAGAGCCGCTGCTACCACTGAAGGGCACTGACAGGGCGCCTGAAGGCGTCTGAGAGCGCAGAGGACCTCCCGTTCCAGTCGGAGCAAGGTCAGGTGTGACACAGATGGCGCTGCTGTATGCTGCGCAGGTGGCGCTGCCGTCGGGCCGATAGATGTCGCCATTGCCCAGCTGGAGCTCGTACTGTCTGAGAACCGTTGTGAGGAGCACGGACTCGTCATCGGCGACGATTCGATGCTGTCGACGTTATCCGACTCAGGCCGAGCTGAGGAAACGGTGGAGCGATTGCCCTGCCACCTGCTGGGTGGAGATGGAACCCGTGGTTTATCTGCCTTGACGCAGGCAAGTAGTTCATCAAGAACAGCATTCATTTGCCTTTCTTGCTCTTCAAACGACATATCAGAAGTTCGTATGGGTTCAGGAGACACAAGCTTAGTGCCTCCAGCCTGAGAGCTATTGCTAGACCCAGTCAAATCATCACTCGAAACGCGACTCATTTCTGAAAGGGCGGTGCTTCCAACGAGCTCCGAGCTGTTGCGTTGGGTCTCATTTCCAGGCTGCCTGGCTCCACTGAGGCCGACGTCCCCGTTCCGGCTGAGCTCCGCCGCTCTGGCGGAGCGTTCTGCCGCTATGAGGCGCCGGGGTGGCGGGGAGGGAGCGATAGCAGCACCCAGGGTCCTCGGGGAGCGGTCAGAGGCGGACGGCGGCCTCGGCACGTCGTACTCCAGTGGCGGAGACGCCCTCAGGGCCAGCCGAGGGCTGGGAGGTGTGTCGTACGTCCCTGGAATAGTGGAAACGATGTAAATTGAGTACAACTACCGCATATGATGACATCAACGATGAAGCTTTATTTCCTTTCCATCACCGTGTACCTATAAACATGTCCCCCGGCCATTTGTAGGTAGGTATTAGCTAGTAGCCATTTACTAAACGCAAAACAATTATTCATCTCGCACAAAATACCTATTACCTTCAGAACAAAAAGAAAAACGTTCACCCATTTTTGGCCGTAATCACGTCTTTTCTATCGACCGCAGGTCTATGGGGTAAGCCCAAATATGGAGCAGCGCATACTGTCCACGCTGCCAGCACTGCGTACCGGGACTGCAGGTCCTCGTGTCGGGCAGACTGGAGGGACGATAACCAGACAGACTGCTAGCAGTCCTCCGGAGCTGGCCCTTCTGAAAATAGATCGAACAACACAGCGTATCAAACGAAGCAAGCTCCGTGCCTTGTGTGCCCTTTCATGGTACTGATACTAAGCATACTTACGTTTAAACGCAACTTCACCATCACACATTGTATGAAATGCAAAAATTATTATTGATAAAAATCACACAGCTGATAACACGGTGATCAAGGTCAGGTATACCTGCAATGTGACATGCGGATTGCTCGTCCTTGTGGAGTTATGGATGCTGTGAGCCCTTCTCAATTTGACCTTAGGCTCTGACTCGTCGAAGGTCGAATCAGCTAGCATAAGCAGGCGGTTTGCCGGACACAGACCCTGCGGAAAAGAGGACCAACGAGAGATCATTTAGTCGTGAATGTGCAACACTTTACGCTTGACGGGTCTTAGCAGTGCAACACTCATGATTGTACGTTGAATTGTAAAAAGGCAATGCTAGGTCAATGATTCAACATAAGAAGTTCGCTGAGACGGCGAAGCTATTGAGATGAGAGTACCTTGATTTATGAGCGCTAGAAAATCAAACATTGCGAGGGTGCCTACCAAAATCCGGATTTCTTCGATCACCACGAAGTCGGCAACCTCACCACACCATATCATGCTTACATCCAACCCTCTGGTCTCCAGCATTGATGGAGCTCTACATCAAACAAAAGAAAACTCAGCTCCGACCCCTTTGACCTCCAGTGACCTCGTGACCCGTCGGTGCCCCTCCCTCCCGCTGACCTGCTGACCCCGGAGGGAGCAGAGCAGCCAGCCGTCCGGCGGCGCCCTGTTCGTCGCCAGCACCGTCAGCAGGTCGCCGCGCCGAAACGCCAGCTCGTCAGCGCTCTCCGAGCGGTTGTCGAACAGGGCGCGGGCTCTTCTTGGCTGGAAGATAAGGAAAAAGAGTGACGGAAATAGGCTGAATGATGCTAAATAGTCATCGCGCACCCTCGGCTGAATTGCCATGAGAAGAGAAAATATAGCCGAATGAGCCCATCGGGATGGCAGGCATTTGAATTGAGGGACAGACAAATCCGTACTTGCGACGTAAACATAATTCATGAATCATTTGAAACTTAAGTTCCAGAGAATCTTCTGAATTACTGTGGCGAGTAAAAGCCTCCACTCGAAACAAGACAAACTATTGTTTTTGATATTGGTAAAAATCACAAAGACCATGGTTTGATCAGGAACAAAAGATAAAACTTCAATAAGAATAGAGTTAGATAGGAAATAGAAATAGACAGAAAATGATAATTCTGCTTATTTCTAAAAAAAAACACAAATCTAATTGCAAAATAAGAAAGAAATTTCCCAATACGAGCAATCAGCTGAGCGCAACTGCCTCGATCAGCTGATAGCGGGTCGTGGTAAGCGCGCGCCCTGGCGCGCGCCACGTTCAGTTTTTGTTTACGTGTGATACCGCATGGTCGGCTTCGGGCTCTGGTATTAACTGGATAATTCGCCAGCTGACGCCGTATGGTGGCGCTAGTGGAGCAGCACCATATGACGTCAGCAGAAAACACCGTGAGCAGCTATGAAATGGGAGCGAGCACCACGGAAATATCGAAAAGTGATGGACATGTACTGACTTTGGTCATTCAAGTACCACCAACACCATACAAAAACCATATAATATCATCAAGACTGATTCTGGAATCGATTTGTTCGGGTATTTAAAACACATCAAAAATGTTTGTTACCAAATTCTGAAACAGTATAAGGATATTCTTGTTCCTTACTTTTACCTTGTGGAGTACTTTTACAATACCTTTTACTTGCTTTCTAGTACGCCCATCACTATCTGAAAATCTGGATTGCAACGCTGTAGGAAAACTTTTTTTCATTTGTCATTTCTTCCACTTTTGAGCAGTGATAATTCATTTGGTTTTATACATTAAATAATAAAGACGGCTTCTAACTTTTTAGGGATCTGCGGTGGCCCAGAGAGCAAGATCAGATATTTCCTAGAAACTTGAGGCCACTATTTTCTTATATGCTAGATAATATACAAATATTGACATGTAAAGAATGATACGGGTGTATAATTCTGCAGAAATATACATTCAAAGTATTCAACATTTTTCATGAACCTTTTTAAAATCTTCCATAATGACTTCTTTCAATACAAGGTGGAAGCAATTTCAGTTAACAATAAAGCAGCACAAAGCAGTTCCTACCTTGAGCTGCGATGATCCATAACCAATCGGCACCTGCAATTTGATCTTCGAGATGTACCCTGCCTCTATTCCCTGACTTTCCCTTTTCGTTGTACCGGGTGAAGTGAATATTCTGTGAATATTCTTCTGACAGTCAGTTTTTAGTCCTACATTATGTTGTCAATCAGATTTAATTGGTTCAAAAACCGTCGTAGTCCGTCTCATTCGCAGTCTACATCTCCACATGCGCACCCATACATGCTCAAAATTTTCACTACGTATGTACTATGTACCCTGCAGCGTACCCTGATGAAAAATGTTTTGTTGAAATCAGAGACACTTCCCAAGGTAGGCCATAGTCCATGCCCCATGGCCATATATTTAAGTCAAAACAGATGAAACAGATAAACACAATTCTAATCATCAAGTCGACCAGCATCGACAATCTGCACATAAGTTCTAAACCTATTGCAAGACTACTTTGTATTCAAGCTTTGTATTGCAGAAGGGTGGAAGCTGCATGGAATTATGCGGCCGACAATTTCAGCGTGCATCCACGCTCGAAAGAGCAGGGTTAATTGTAACAATACCATAACAATAACGTAATTGTAGGTGTTGTGATTCGGTTGCCGCTTGTCTGTGCTGGCCATTGCGCGGGCGGTCCAGCGACGGAACTCGGCTTCGCCGCCGTGGCGCGCTGGCAGTTGCTTCTTCTTCTTCTGCATCCCACCGCCAACCCGCTCGGGGGGGGGGGGGGGGGGCGGCGGCGCAGGCGGGTTGAGCGGCGGCTCGGTCCGCCCAACATCCTCGATGAAGGTGACGACCTTCGTCGCCGGGCCGCCGAGGACGTCGACCAGGCGAGGGTCGACACCCCAGCGGCGGCGGCGGGCCGCCTCATAGGCCGGACAATCGGTCAGTAGGTGCGCCGCGCTGTCGGGCTCCCCGCACGCGGGGCATTCGTCGTCGGCTGCCAGGCCAATCTTGTGGAGCGTGTCACGGGTCAGCGGTGATGTGCCGGTCCTCAGCTGGGACAGCGTCACCGACCCCCAGCGCGCCAGGGAGTCGTGGCCAGGCGTGGGGTCCGGGTGCGGGTGGGCAGCGGTTGTCCTCTGTCGCGACAGCTCCCGGACATGGCGCGTGACGGCGGCCTGCGCAGTGCGCACTCGACAGGTCGATCGGTGCGCTGTCTTGGTCGCCCGCCGTGGCCTCGCCAGCCAGGCGGTCGGCGGTTTCGTTGCCGTCCAGCCCGGCGTGGCCTGGCACCCACTGGAGCACCGTCTCGGTGCCGTTCTCGGCGAGGGTGCTCAGCAGCCTCCAGACCTCGGCGGCCAGGGCCATGGTCTGGTTAGCTGGGCCGCGGCCGAGTAGTTGGAGCCCAGACCTTGAGTCGGTGAGGAGGCGGACCGACTTGGTCGATGCCAACTCCCCGTCCTCCAGGCCGGCCACAGCCGCGAACGCCTCGCGCATGGCGGTCAGTTCTGCTCTTAGGCTGGAGCAGACCGCCCCTGCAGGAGCGCGCACGGTCTCTTCTCTGTTGAGGTGGTGGAACTGGATCAGCGCGCCTGCGCCGCCCTGTTCCGTCCTGCCGCGAGCCGAGCCGTCCGACCAGATAGTGACGTCCGGGTGCGGGAGGTCTGCAATGGCTCGCAGGGCAGCTTCCCTGCAGACTGCAGGCGGGTCCGACTGGCGGGTGGCCACGGGCAGGTCCACCCTGAAGGTGATGCCGCCGCGGTGGCCCAGCCATGGCGGGTCGCAGCTGTAGAACACCGAACCTGTAACACAATAGAATTGCAATTGTAACAAAGACCTGCATGGTCAGCACACATCTGCAGTGACTGTCATCCCAAGTTGGTATGAGTTGGAACAAAGTTGGGTCATGGTAGCAGACGTAGCACAAGCTGTCGTGATATGCCATACCGTAGGACTAGGTCGTAGGTTGTAAATTTTAGGTATGAGGCTATAGGTTGTAGGTCAGGTTAGGTAAGGTTTGGTTAGAAAGACCCATTCTCGTCATCGTGCATAGGGCAGCTTGTGCTACGTCTACCTTACCAATACCCAATTGAATTCCCAAAATTGATGGCAAACAGGCTTTTTGTATAACAAGTGTGGTTAATTGTTCTAATCCTCGCTGCAATGTGAGGGTAACTGCTTTTCTACAATCACAATATTTGAATTCATATAGGTAGGTGTTTACATGTTCAGAAAATGGTACAAAATATGACACAATTATAGCTGCAACTGGATAGTGGATACCAACCTCAACTGAAAATTTCTGCAGCCTTATAACCTAACACATGACTTAATTGCCAAAATGAATCCCTTAGTACAATAGCTTGACTCTAAAATAACAGAACTTTTGCATGCAGACCCTGGAAACTGGAGGGTTTATGAAAAGTAACAAAAATAAACATTCACTAATATCAATATTTTGTTATAAATTTCATATGTAGCATAAGCGCCAATACTGCCTTCATTTACAATTTTGCTACTGTTTTCCACTCACAAACGCTGCCCTCCGTGGACAGCAGCAGCAGCAGTGAAACGTCACCCGTGGTGTGACATCATCACCCATGACGTAATGGAAATCCAGTTGTTACCAAGGCCCGTCGGCTTCGCTCCGTGTTCGTGAATTCCGTCGCCTTGTCAGTGCAGCAAGTGACTTTTGGTGTGGTTTTATTCTATGCAATGTGCCCGTGGTGCTTACGAATTCAATTTGAATTATGCGTGCTACGAAATGATGTATTTTCGCCGCGGACCAATCGCGTTTCTGTGCTTTGCTCCTCGGTCGCCGAGCCGCGGCCGACCGCCTGCAGCTATGGAGTGACCCGACACCGAGCGCTGCTGGAAGGGTCACAGAACCAGACGGATGGTGAACCGATCGCCGACCTAAGAGAACGGGACTACAGGACACAGTATGGTGATGTACCGAGCCCCAAGGGCACTCTGGGATACTCTCAATTTGCCTTGACTTTGCCCTGCATTCTGCCGCATACTCTGACCCCTGCCAATGAATAGTGGCATGTGACGCTGCCCTGACCGATCGATGTTTCAACGGCCGATTCCTGAAGCATCTGTTATGATTACGGCTTAGTGCTTACTGGTACAAAGTAATGTTTAAGCATGATTCCGCATGTCGATTTCAGGTCAAGACTGGTCAAGACCTTAATTAACCGTACATGCTTCTGTATAGTTCAAGTTTCGCACATAGATGTCGCTAGCGGTACACGCCTGTAGGTATGCTGTACCGCAGTACTCGGGGAAGGAAATTTTTAGCGAGTCCATTGAAATGATTGCATGTAACTTGATACAACTTTTATCAATTTTTATCCTTTCAAAAATATTATTTAAAGCAAACTACCTAGTTTTTGATAAACCTTGTCTCGACGATAAAAATGCAATCATATAGAGAAATCAGTCAAAGATCATTGCAGATTGCTTGTTGCTAAAATATTGACGTTCTATTTCCCTGAAGAGCCCAAAAACCATTTTGTGGACATGCTAGCGACACCAGCAACAGACTTTTGGTTGGTTGAGCTATCGCATGTTGCCGCGCTTCGTCTACGTCGATTTCAAAGCACAGTGCTGAGTCGCCCCGGCCGGCGCCTTTGACCGCGCGGTGGCAGTCCTGAGGCGATATATGGCCATCGTCTAGCTGCCGCTGCCCCTTACTACCGCGTGCCGACGGCGCCTGTATGTACCTCACTGACGCGTGCCAGGCGCTGCTGACCGAAATGCGACGCGAGTCGCGCGCTCTTTAAAGTCCTGGTATCAGTCAGGACGGAAAAGGCGTCAGGGATCAAGCACTGGGCAACTCTCAAACGCAGTGACGAACGCGACAGTGATTATGTAGAATAGAGGGAGCTAGTAAAGGAGAGGGGGAGGTAGACGGGACGGAGGTTTCCGTTACAATTTGTAAATGTAGGTACAGTCGCCGAATAATGCTTGCGCATTCGCCGCATTCCTTTTTTGATCTCGGTTTCGTAAACTGGCATACCTGCGGTATAGCAGGAGCGCACAGATGTCTGAAGTATCCGCTCACTCGGCTGGTCCTTTGTCGTTCTATGAGAGGTTGTAGGACGCTTCACGTTATTATTGTCTGTTGTCCTGACAACACAGCTTGGTTCTGCTGGTGGCTGGTGCCTCGGTATCTCCCGTCCTGGCACTGCCACGGACTCCCTCTATGTTCTCTCCGCAGAGCCCCGAGCCGCCGTGTCATGGGCCGGGTCCCGCGGTCCACCGTCCAGTGTCCGTCATAGCTCTCCAACCACAGATCATAGGCGCAGTGACACGCGCCATCCATCTCCTGCCGGTGGTGGCGCGCGCCGGTCACCAAATATGCGGCGCGCCGCCGGCACCGCGCGCCATATATGTCACGGCGCGGCGCGGCGGTCACCCGGCGAAGGGACCGACGGGTCGCGGTGGGCCGGGACAGACGGACGGAGTCGTACATAGCTCGGTCATGGGCGTAATGACGTGGGAGGGGGAGTCGTCTGTGGGGCGACCTCTGTGGAATGGCGAGTCGAGGGTAGAATCGAATCTGGGACAGCCAAGGAGGTGCATTGCAACGCAGCATCAGGAGCGGAGCGACTGATAGTTCAAAACGAGCGTTCTTTCTGAGAAGATTTGGGTGTAAATGTAGGATGTTATAGGCAAAAGCGTGAATGAAAATTGAGCGCACCAGACAAGGTCACAAGCGTATGTCACATGGCTGATGAGGAATGCATAAAATATCAGGTTCCGCATATGTTTTTGTTTTTGATAACTAAAATAAATGATTCATAGGCTTCACACTACCGGTTTGGAGCCTAACTTTAGCAAATCTACTAGGGAGCACTGTGTGACATTCATGTACCGATTTTGTTCCATACTGTCAAACACGATTCATTTCTATGCAAGATATGTCCATAAATGCGAATGCAAATGCGTTGATTGGGGTGACATGTCTCATTATAAATTGTGACATGCTTCACCCGTGCCTGCGTTGTCGGGTTGGTACAGCAAAGAAGGATGCGGGGATCAGATAGACCGACTCGGACTGCTCTGCATGCGTCAGTCAGTTCAGTGTTCGGTGCCCACTGCGAGCCATGCCAGCTGCATACTCGCCGTCTACCGCCGTCTCGACATTCAGCTGTTAGGCTGGCTCACACCTGGTTCATTGCTGCAAAGTGCACATGATCCGAAATTGTGAACCAAATGGAAGTGAAAGCCAATGCTATAAGACACACCAATTCAAAAGCAGTGCACGCAATGCTCTGTAGGTGCATTAGTTTTCTCATTGATGATTGAAATGTTTTGTTCCCACAGGCTGATTCTACATAAAAAGAACATAACGTTTTTAACGGTCGCCTTAAACAACATAAGATCATTTATTTGATCTATGATCCATGCCAAAGTTTTGGTAGAAAGCGATTTCTATCCATTGTTTTGCGCCCGTCATTTCTTACATAGTCTCACAGTTTGGACAGCTCTGACAAGAGCCGATGATAGTGATCTGACTATGACAGCCATTTGGATGAGCCATTTGGACTTAGACGCCAGTCTGGCTATGCCCGGTCCCCGTGTTTGGACCGCCCGCGCCTCAGCCGCCGTTGGGGCTGCCTGCCGTGGACGGAGACCTGTCGCGTTGGACCGTGCGCGCGTGGGCGCTCCGGCACGGACTCTGCGCTCCGGCACGGGCCCCGCTCGTTGTCATGCCATCAGTGCGCTGACCAGTTGAGGCGACTCGCCGGCCGGATCAATCTCCGTCCAACCGGCCGCCGATCTCTGCCGATATCTCCCATATCATACGCGGAGACAAGCCCAGCAAGTGCCGCGGACCGTATTGGGACGGCAGGTGGTCGTTTACGATTCCGCATTTCAGGTGGAGCCGGATTTTGTTGCCAGGATAGGGCTAACAGGCGCCTGGGTTGCGGGATGAATGTTGGAGTTTCCATGAAATGAAGGTGCAGGTAACACGTTCGCGCTGCAACAAAATGAGCTGTGATATTGCATCGTCTGTCTGTGTGCTGTGTTGGGAACCTGAAAGGTCCTAAAACTACGGGAACGTGACCAATGTTTGAGCACCCCGAAGTATACAAGCACGTGCTGTTTTTGCGCGGTCGATTTCAGCCTGCGCCTCGTGGCACTGACGGGGCTTCGGTCCATCATTCATTCGTCCTTGCGTCGCGTACGATATGGGTTAGATATCGACTATCGAATGCATAAGTCAGCGTGTCGTGCCACTGTTTGAAACATCCTTCCATTATCGTGTTATGCATTCAATGCATTGGGCCTAGTTACCATGGGCAATTGATGCAACAAACTGCGCCAGTCGGGGTGATGTTGCAAGAGATCCATCATGCGCCAATGTGTCCTATGCCTATGCTTGTTTGTATTCGTTTCTATGTTTACAGAAAGCATTTCATCGCCACGTGTGTCCCACAAACCTAAATCACTCCTGGTAAAGCGCCGTGGGTCAACGAGTTTAAATCGATTATTGCGAGTTGTGGTGCAGAGTCATGGCACTCCATTGTGAGATGCTATGCAGAACATTGTGAGTCACTGATGCAAATGAGCCTGCTCATGTTTCGTGCTACAGTCAACCTCCCCTTGCCATCCATTCTGAGCTACTAGCAAACTGAATAACTCTCGTTCGCTCTGTAGATTAGGCAACGCTCTCCGAATGGCTGGGGAATTTCCGGTTGGAGGATATGTACGTTTACCGCGGTCATGCGACCAAATAAGGCCCGTGTCGTGGTGAGAACAAAAAGTGAACGCTCGGGAGCAGTTTAAATCGTACTTCCGCCTTCTCTTAGGTAATTTCGTACGTTCTCGCCTGCGTGGCTGAGATGGAAAAGCAAACTTTTTGTTCGATCATGACGTTTTATAAACGAACAAGGCAGCAATACCTGCATCGGACATAAGTGATGTGTTATCACGTTATGTCTAGAAAAGCTCGTGAATATCACTTATGAGCTACAGAGTTCTCTCTCTCTCTCTCTCTCTCTCTCTCTCTCTCTCTCTCTCTCTCTCTCTCTCTCTCTCTCTCTCTCTCTCTCTCTCTCGCTCTCTCGCTCTCTCGCTCTCTCTTCCTCTCTCTCTCCTCTCTCCCTCTAACGGTTCTATCAGTCCAGCTCTCAGTGTTCCAGTGCTTACCTTTCCATCAGTACGCTCGGCAGGCTTCATGGTTCCTGATTGGCAGTGTGGTGATTCCAAGAGTGTCGAGGAGCACCTGTCCCTGGAGGCTGGAGTTCCTGGAGCCGTGCTTTCTGGAGCACTGCTGTCTCTAGAGGGCTGGGTCCCGAGCTCTTGGATTTCTGAGAACCGTGGCTTCTGGAACCAGGGCTCTAAGGACTAGATATCTTTCCTGAAAAGTTCTGCTCCAATAGCTGCAGAATGGTTCGTGCATTCAGGCTTTCGCGCTGAAAATATCCGATGACGCCTACTTCCTGGCGTTTGGAACACTGAAATCTGGACTTGAAGTGTAGAAAATTCAACACGTCCCGGTACGGTATAGCCCAGCACAAGACACAGATTCGGGCTGACTTGACTGAACGACAGCACTGCTGGCGGACTGACTGATTTGCTGAGCTGTGATACTGCCGTCTGACCGCTGGTGACTGACTGACTGAGCAGCGACGCTGCCGTATGACCGCTGGATATATGACTGGCTGGACGGCGACGCTGCCGGCGGACCGCTGGGACCGGCCCAACGCCGCGGCGCCGCCCCACCTGCCACCGCTCCAGCGGCCGAGCTCCGACTGGGCTAGAGGAGGTGGCTGGCGACCGGTCCGCTACCAACGGACATCTCAGCACCGACTGGGCGGAGGTGACGGACGGGCGACCTCTCTCAATATACCCTGGCGGGCGACGGGTCCGATCCCTGCAGACGGACCGGCCGACGCGTCGAGCGCAGCCCTCTATAAAAGCCCCAAGCGCGGCTGCCAGTGTATCGACTTGACGTAGAAAGGGTGTCCGTCTTGTGACCTGAGCAATGAATATGACGACACTCGGGTCTGTTTGGACTGATAGCTCAGCTGAAACTGCTGGTAATTATCCCGCCTCACAATTGGCAGAGAAATAATAACTACCAGTAAAACGCCTTTTGGGCGAAGAACGAGCGAGCGAGATAGTGAGCCCTGCACGTGCAGAAGGGCGAGAGGGTACTTCCAACGGGCTTGTGCAAAGCACCCTTCTAACCGGTCGCTAGCGGTGTACCAAATTTGAGCGCAATCGGCCCAGCCGTTCTCGAGATCTGGAAACGCCCCCTGCACGTGCGCACGTGCAGTAGCACCCTAACCGCAACACATGGGAATGCATTGCCTGGTGGGTGCCTACCTGTATGCCAAGTTTCAGCGAAATCGCCCCAGTAATTACCGAGTTACTGAAATGGGAACAAATTTGGCACCTCTTATTGTTGTATTTTGCACGTGCAGTGGGGGTCACTCACATAGATGAAGAGTATCCGACCTTTGGTAGAAGGGATGCAGCTACCCTATAGAAATGACCGCAAGACAATCGCTCAAGCCGCTGCTGAGATATGGGCCTCTCAAAATCATTACTTTTGCAAAACTGCTTGAACACCCTTGACTTTTCACGTGGCACGTGCCACGGCGGTCACTGAGATGTATCAAAAGTAGTCAATTACGGGGTAGAAGGGATGGGGCTACCCAGCAAAAAAGACCGCAGGTCATTCGGTCCAGCGGTTGCTGAGATATAAGCCTCTCAAAAGCGTTACAGGCCGGGCCGGGCCGGGCCGGGCCGGGCCGGGCCGCTCATACTGAGATTATATATTCCCGACCGGGGCTGGGAAAATGCGTTTTATTCACCGAGGTTTTTGTGCGGAGGACCGAGTGCCGGTAGGCACGAGGTCCGTAGCAAAAAACCGAGGTGAATAAAACCTGCATTTTCACAGCCCAAGGTTGGGAAGAGATTTGCCATATGCCGTACCGGCGCAACAGTTAATATCATATTCATTTGATATTTTACACTTTAATCTTAATATTGTGGTAATATTATATTAATACTATGTTCATATTTATAGTCACCGTGATTATTTGTTTCTGTTTTTCATTATTAGGCTGCGTTGAGTATGAAAGATGAAATTCCTACTTCCCCCTTATTTAGGGTTTGAAAAAGCTGAGGATGAAGATGGTGAAACGCCAGAAGTTAGAATAAAGATATGGAGTCCAGCAGGAGTGAGGAAACCGTGAGGAAAACTAAAAATTGGGTGAAACGCTGAATCAAACGCGTCTTAGATCCCAGCTGGAACAATATCAAATGTTTCATTGTGGCACGTTAAGATGCTTCACGCATTTAAATTGTTCGTTTTTTTTTTTTGCGTGCATTATGTAGAAATAATGATTATTCCGACCATGTTCTGCAGCAATGAATACATTGGCATTGGAACGATAACCTTGTTTAGTTGAATTACGTTGACAGCAAAAGTATGTAAACACGCAGTCACTTACTTTTGCTGTTGCTGTTAGTGAACACACAATCCGTAAATATCTTCTTTGAAATTGGTTCTTCCGCTCAGAATATTCAGTAAAACTTTGTCTGGGAAAATCAAAAAGCCCTAGGGCCGAATCGTTTCCCAAATACCTTCAACATTAGCCGAGGCGGGCCGAAGCCATTTCCCAAATGCACGTGCTAATGTTAAAGGGATATCTCGGCATGTGGTAATTTTCCGTTATATTGAAAAGACTTCGCTTCGCTCGCTGCGCTCGCTCGCTCGTAATAACTAGGTGTGGGTACTTGATGTTCTGTCCTTTTCGTTTTGGTCGGCAGCCTAAGCTCAAATGTGCCATTTGTTATGGGTCCGTTTGTTCCATGTACGCTTTCTCTAATGATGTTTTTTTCTGAATTAAGCCGTTCCTCCGCACAATCATACACCCCTTGGCATATCGAATATAATTGTTTCGAAAACAATGAAAACAACGCTATAGATAGACACGCCAAACAAATAATGTGTGGGTGTGGAGGTGTGTCTGTGAGTGTTGGTGGGAGGTGAGCGAGGGAAAGCCTGTACCATGACCGAGACACGCGAGGCGAGAGGTGCCATGCGTCGTCAGAGTCTCCTGATGCTCATCAGGAGGTCTCCTGGAGGCTAGGATCGTTTGAAGGACCTCAGAAGGATCTCGTGTTGCTGGCTGCCGTTCGCCCAAGGGGCGCACCGGCTCGCGGCGTGGAGGTCCAGTACTCAGGCAGCTGGTTCAGAGAGGTTCTGTGGAGTTATGCAGCGTACATAAATAGCTCTGATGCAAAATATCTGATCAAGACGGGCGCTGGACGCCCGAACTGTAGGGCACCGGCTGTGTCTCCAATCACTGCCCGAACATGCCAACACACGCGCAAACACTGCTCTGAAAACACGAAAAACAGCTCAGAAATATCACACGCGATTAACGGCTGAGAACGTTGCCAGACGCACGCCGAGAGGGGTTGGCCAATTCCAAAACGGTACGACAGCTGATGTAAAGGCAATCGAATACGAAAACTGAATTTACATTCGGTTACTATGTACACGGGACAGGCCATTTGTGCATAATTCAATAACAAGATATTTGGTCAAGAATAGAACCCGTTAGTGGAACCGTGGCGTCCTTCAGGCGCCGGCGGGCGTCCCCCGGCTCCCAATGCATGGCATTATACCTGACCCCGCCGCCGCCGGTCACAGCGGCAGCGGTCGCCGCCGTCCCGCCTATTGCGTCATCACCACGTCACTGTGACGTCATCACTGCGTCTGGGTGGCACCGTCGGCACGTCACTGCGGCACGCTGGTCGGTGTGTGCCAGTCCCCAGCTCGGCGTGCGGCGGAATCTCACTGTGGCGCTCGCTGTCTCAGTCTCCCGCTGCCGGCCGGCGCCACGCCCTCCGATCCGACGCGAGGCGTCTCCGTGGGTTCAGCCGCGCTCCTCCCGGCCAGCAGGCTCCGCGCTCCGCCCGGCCCCATCCCTGAGGAGAGTATGGTAGAGTCCGCGAGTCGGCTGAAGCTTCGCAGGGCCCCCGGGTAGATGCGGTAGTATGCTCCGCTGAGGCTCGAAAGGCGACAACATTCACCGGCGCGGAGACGCTGGATATATAGAGAGCTGGGCAGGTATGCATTCACAGGGGCCCGCAGCTGTTCGAGCCGGCCAGGTCTGACCTGACCTGACCTGACTTCTCAGCCAGCTGCTCCGCGATACTTCACGGAGCGTACCGCCAGGCTGGCTGAGAGACCCCTCTGCCGGCTGCGAGCGAAGCTGAGCCTCCTCGGCGGTCCACAGATGTCGCTGTTGGCAGCAGCAGCTGGCCGTACTGGACCTGGACCAGGCCGGAGGGCGGGCAGAGTTCTCCGGGTCCGCATCTCCGGCTACACGTTGAGCGCGCGCCGGGAGGAGGTCTGCGGCGGCGGAGACGGGCTGTAGGTGTCTGCGGAGCGGTGTGGCGGAGGGCCGCGACTCCGGCCCGGCCCGTGGTGGACGCCGACTGGCGGTACCGGCCTCCTCCGGTCAGAGGGGTACTCCATCAGCTCCTCCTCGTACTCCTCCTCCGGGGGCTCGTCGTGACGCCCGTGGCCCTGGTACACCCCTGGAACGGAGCGGCGGGACGTCAGCGGACGCAGGTGGCAGGGGTCAGGGTCCAGGAGCGTGACAAAGGTGTGGCTAACGGCCAGCAAGAGTGGCATCTGTCGGGCTCTGTAGCGTCTTATTTGGCACGCTGGGTAGGACAGATATTTGTTCACGAATGCTAGGTCTTCCGTCATCCATCGCATAAGTATATCGGATGAGTCTCGAGCATAGCTCAACTCGAACAGCTACGGCTGAATCCAGCGTTGACTTCAGCATTTTATGGGTGCACGCATAAACCGCAAAGTCCTGCAGTACCACATTGTTCCAAATGAGTTCGATATTGGTTCGGCTCATTTATAGTAGCTACTGTCATGTATACGACATATGTTGTGTTATCGTCACGCGGCGAGATCCGCCGCTCTCACCTCGGTCGTCCCGCTCCCGATCAAAGCCGCCGTAGTGAGATTCGTGGTGGACTGAAACGAAAGGAGCGGAGAACCGGTCAATGTACTGCACTGTCGCTCCAATATGAGCACACTGAGCAGCCGACTGATACGCCGGCTACAGTTACAGAGCGCTGGTCAGTTTTCAGAAGTGATAAAACTGGATAGGGCTGACGGACCTTTGCTGGGAAAATTTTCTGCCTTCACGCCCGGGCCTCTTACTGCATGCCTGTTTGACACTGGATAGATTACGACTAAGAAATGCTGCTGCCTGTATTCAGAAGCTACTGCGCGGTAGCTTGGTTGCAAAACCGCGATTAGCCCGAACTACTAACGTCGTGAGGCAAACAACCAGAGCACTTTATAAACAGAGAAACTAATGTATGCAGACTTCATGATGGGGCTCTGTAATGGGTAATACTTAGGGGCCACAACAGTGGAACCTTCATTGACGAATTCCATTGGTCATGTTCACCACGGAAATGTTTGTTAGGAAAGGTGTTATTTTTCCAAAATTCGCCTTAATGACGCCAAGCATCGCGATATGAACCATACCGCCACGAGAGATTAGGCAACTAATCACCGTCTGCACCGATGTTGATCCTCTGGTAACATCCCCCAAACACCGTATTTGTGGGTGTTTTGTGACAGCTGACGAGTCTATCGCCAAACCGAGCCGGACCTTTTGGCTAGGACCACCTACATGGGATGTAAGCGCTCGAGGACAGGTGATAGGCAAGACGTAAGACTTAAAACAACGCCTTGTTTAGCAGGTTGGCCTAGTGACAGAAAAGCCGCCAACTCGATATTTCAAGCATCGACTTGCCACGCCCGTTGGCCACGAGTACGAGACTTGGCATACGAAGACCTCCGCCTCAGGTCACGTATTTTTGCAGAAGCTCGAACGGCCGCGATCACGTGTTCATATGTGAATAATGGCTCCGGAGTGACTAATTGGCCTCTGTTTGGCTTAGGACGCGTCTGGCCGGGGCAGTCGGGAACAGGACCGTCCACTTGTGGCCACTTTCGTTGGAACCAGGCGAGGACACCGAATGCCACCATCTGTGTGAGTGCGGACAAGTGTCTGTCCGAAGGGGACCTCGCGCAGCGGACCGGCCTCATATGCGCTCAGGGTGGGTCGAATTGGCCGTGAGTGTCACATTAGAGAGACAAGATGATGACCAGCGATCCAGTGAGTCACGGGCTGAACATTGAACAGATATCATCATAAGTGATAAAAAATAGTTAACTCATTCTCTTGGCCCTGAATATAACCGGGGGCACCGGGGCGTCCCTCCCAGTTCCTTTCCATCCCTTCCGTCTCTCCACCACCCCTTCCCGTCACTCATTCCTCCCACTCATCCCTTCCCATCCCTCCCCATCCCTCACCGTTCTGCCCTCCGTGCCGCGGCAGTCCCTCTCCATCCCTTCCCGCTCTCCCCGCACCTATCCTCCCCGTCCCTCACCGCTCTGCCCGCCGTGCCGCGGCAGTCCCTCCCCATCCCTTCCCGCTCTCCCCGTACCTATCCTCCCCATCCCTCACCGTTCTGCCCGCCGTGCCGCGGCAGTCCCGAGTGCTCCATCCGCGGCGATCCGCGCGGGCTCGGTATGGGCCGCTGTATGCTCGCCGGTGGCGACTTCACCGGCGGGTGCGTGGCGCGCCAGTACGAGTCCATAAACTCGCCCAGGTGACAGCACGCGTCCTCCAGCTGATTCTCGTCCAGCACGATGTCAAACATGTCGGCAGGACACTGGTCCAGCTTCTCCGCGGCCGCCATCTGCACCGTCAGGTTCTTGGACTGCGACTTGCCGCGGGATTTGATCAGCCGCTGAAGAACCTGAGGAGTGTGACGTCATTTTGAGGTCATTGGTGGCAGTGTGACGTCACTGAGGTGGTCGATGAGACGCGTAACATAGGTCGGTGTGGCATTTGTGGGCAGGATGGAAAATCGCTAGACAGGCGGGCAGGCGTTGACCTTTCACGTCTGCTGGCATTTCGCGGTCGGGCGCCAACTGAGAGGTCAGGCAACGTCATTGATGACGTCAGCATGCTCAATGTATGGTATGTTGAGGCCAGTGCTGGGCTATGATGTTACCATTGGGTGACATTTGTTGGCAAACATGAAAATGTTTCTTATGACTCGGAGCCAGGGGTTTACCCATTACAACGTTAGTGTGCAAGAAAGTTAGACATTGAAAATAATTATTTAGGCCCTTCAGGCGTTCGGCTCGATCTTTACAGAATAACAAAGCCAATTAGTGTGATTACTCATCTGTGTAATAATTTGTAACCACACTCCAGGGAAATAAAGCGCCCCGATAGAGAGTGCACCATCACTAACCTTTGGTGACGATATTTTGATGTGGCACAGAATTGGCGCCAGCGAGGTTTTGGCCAGTTGCGACGGGTGGTTGATTGTATCACAGTCTAAAACCACCAGCTGTGAAACGAAAGGAAAAAAATATGAGTCAGCCACATCAGTGTGGGACCTGTGATATGGGGGGGGGGGGCAATATAGGTCAGAGCACATATGGGACGATGCAGTCTACAGCGAAGCGACCACTGAAGGTGGGGAAGCTAGAAAAGTCAAGGAGTATCGAATCTTCCAGGGACCCCAAGACACCATGGATAAACCTGGGCAGCTCGCAAGTGTCTTACAGGTTTACCATCACCTGACCGAGTGAGCGGCTCCGTGATCTGTGCTCCTGCACTCTGGGCCTGATTATCCTGTGTCAATTATCCGCTCCGTGACATGCGCTCTGACCTGTAGTGTCCTGGCTCTGTGCCCTGTGCTCTGAACCGGGGTGTCTGGCCCTGTGACCTGACCTGGAGTGTCCGGGCGTACTCGAAGATCCTCTCGATTTCTGCTGACACCTCGCTGACACAGGCCGACCGCGGCCCCGCCCGGTCCAGGATGGCGCGCTTCGACGGGTTGTTGAGCAGGTTCCGCTTGGCCATCGAGATGTCGGCAGTCACCCGCGTGATGATGATCCTGCGGAACAGTACAGCAGCTCGGTACTTTCTGGTCGAGATCTTCCTCGGTTGGGGTTGATATGGAGGCTACTCGCGGGAAATGTGACGTCGCTTGTCACATTTGAACCAGGTGCAGTGCAAGCCGAAGTCTTTCGTATATTACCGTTTTGACACTATGTAGGTCATTAAGGTAAAGTGCCTGATATTGGTTATCAGGAAACTCGTTTAGCGCCATTGCACTGGTTACAACTCTCTCTGCTAAGCATGTTTACTGTACGTCCATCATCCGCTCACCTGCCCTCGAACTTGTTCTTGAGGAAGTCGAAGACGGCCTTCTGCATCATGTCGGTCACCTCGTACCCCTTGAGGCTGGGTCCGACCAGCACCAGCGGCCGCATCGAAGGCACTACGTCGTAGGGAGGAGGGTTCTCCTGCGGAGGAGAACGGCACGAGATGTCACTCAGTGGCTCATGAGCACGAGCGAGGTTATTGAGTTCGGAAAGTCGTCACTTTCATCTGATAATCCACTAAAGGCCTATATGAAATATATCAACAATAAAAACATCACTCAATCTAGTTGTAAATCTCAAACATTAACCAAAGCGTCAATTAACCATCAATTAACCGTCAACATTAACCATCAATAATTACTGTGATTGTTCACAACATACACATCAATAATTACTGTGATTGTTCATCTCATGAATCTCTGTCTTCTCCAAGGTGTGTTTCCCACCTCATTAAAAAGAGCTGTTATAAAGCCAATTTATAAGACTGGGGATAAACAGTTATTCAATAACTATCGCCCAATATCTTTACTCCCGGTCATTTCGAAATTACTAGAAAAACTCATTTATGCTCGATTAAGTGAACACTTAACTCAAAATAACATAATTTGCGATCATCAATTTGGTTTTAGACAAGGTATGAGTACCTACATGCCTATCGTAATTCTCCAAGAAAAAATATTAAGTGCTCTAGAAAACAACCTAAGCACATGTGGAATTTACCTTGACCTCCGCAAGGCATTCGATACAGTTGATATCGAGATACTGCTCTGCAAACTGCATAAATATGGCATATGTGATGAAGCATACTTGATGCTAAAATCATACTTGAATGAACGCACTCAATGCGTTCAAATCGATGATACGCAATCATCTATTCTTCCGGTAAACATAGGAGTACCTCAGGGGTCTATTCTGGGTCCACTCCTTTTTATATTATACATAAATGATTTTATATCCTTATGTGATGAACACATATCTGTACTTTTATATGCTGATGATACTGCCATTTTCATAGAAGGTGAAAACAGAAATGTACTTCAAGCCAGACTAAATACATTAATGCCTAAAATTGCTGAATGGTTTGCTTCTAACCAGTTGTCCCTCAATGCTGATAAAACGTACTATCAGCTATATGGTAATCAACCAACAAACTGTGAACTAACAATTCAAATTGATGGTGCTAAAATTACTCGTGCAAACACTGTTAAGTACCTTGGTGTATTTATTGATAATGACCTTAAGTGGAAAACACACATAGCCAAACTCCAAATAATATTATCGAGAAATATCGGAATAATGAATAGGCTCAAATACCTTTTGGGCACAAAACACCTTTTGCTACTGTATCATTCTCTTTTCCTTAGTTATATTAACTACTGCTGCTTCATTTACACAAATACATACCCAACTAGTTTAAATGAATTAGACAAACTTCAGAAACGTACTATAAGAATAATTGATGGACAGCCAAGACTGGCACATACTGCACCAATATTCAAGAAGTTCAAACTTCTTAAACTTAGGGATATTGGGCAACAGCAAATGTTGCTATTACTGCACAGAAAACTTAGTGGAAACCTACCAATGGCTATTGCAGAGCTTTTTGTAACATCTGAACCTACTAGAATAAATCGTTCCATTAAACATTTCTATGAATCATTTACATACAAAGTTTACAAAACGCATACTTTATCGTGGGCTGGGCCCAGAGTCTGGAACAAAATTATGGTGCCTTTATTTCCCAGACTTTCTACAGTACCAGCTTCGAAATCAGTTATTAAAAAGCTCTCCAAAAGTTTCTTTCTTAACCAGTATCATTGATTCATTCAATTCAGTTTGCATGATGATATGCCTCGTGTGATAATGTAATTGAAAATCATCATGTCCGTCAAGACAGCCCATATTCAGCCCAGATTCAGCCCGGATTCAGCCCAGATTCGGGACACCTCCGATCAAGCTGAAACTCGCACACAATGTAGGCCATGACATGCCCAATCCACAGTCCAAGTCATTCGGTGGCACTCCCAGCCGTTTGACCTACAGAGGTCAGCAAAGGTCACGTGGCCCAAATTTGCACAGCAGATTGTGGCCCACCCAGTAGAGCTAGAGCGCTAAAAATGGCACCAATCGACTCGCCAGCATCTAATCTTACTTTCCCAACACTCATTTGACCTCTCAAGGTCATGCGATGACCTTAGGTCATGTGTGGGCTATGTCGAAAATACACTTGCACAGCAGTTTTCGAGTAGATGGATTCACCGAATTCCAAATCAGAGCATATCATCGGGTAGCCCATAGGCCGTAGTAACGTAACTTGAAAACCGCTTTTCGATATGTGACCCCGTTTGACCTCTGCAGGTCAAAATGTGCAAATAATCGACACTCAATACGTCGCAGCCCGGATTCAGCCCATATTCGGGACACCTCCGATCAAGCTGAAACTCGCACACAATGTAGGCCATGACATGCCCAATCCACAGTCCAAGTCATTCGGTGGCACTCCCAGCCGTTTGACCTACAGAGGTCAGCAAAGGTCACGTGGCCCAAATTTGCACAGCAGATTGTGGCCCACCCAGTAGAGCTAGAGCGCTAAAAATGGCACCAATCGACTCGCCAGCATCTAATCTTACTTTCTCAACACTCATTTGACCTCTCAAGGTCATGCGATGACCTAAGGTCATTTGTGTGCTATGTCGAAAATACAATTGCACAGCAGTTTTCGAGTAGATGGATTGACCGAATTCCAAATCAGAGCGAATCATCAGGTAGCCCATAGGCCGTAGTAACTTTCCTTCAAAACCGCTTTTCGATATGTGACCCCGTTTGACCTCTGCAGGTCAAAATGTGCAAATAAACGACACTCAATACGTCGCAGCCCGGATTCAGCCCAGATTCGGGACACCTCCGATCAAGCTGAAACTCGCACACAATGTAGGCCATGACATGTCCAATCCACAGTTCCAGTCATTCGGTGGCACTCCCAGCCGTTTGACCTACAGAGGTCAGCAAAGGTCACGTGGCCCAAATTTGCACAGCAGATTGTGGCCCACCCAGTAGAGCTAGAGCGCTAAAAATGGCACCAATCGACTCGCCAGCATCTAATCTTACTTTCCCAACACTCATTTGACCTCTCAAGGTCATGCGATGACCTAAGGTCATGTGTGGGCTATGTCGAAAATACACTTGCACAGCAGTTTTCGAGTAGATGGATTGACCGAATTCCAAATCAGAGCACATCATCGGGTAGCCCATAGGCCGTAGTAACTTTCCTTCAAAACCGCTTTTCGATATGTGACCCCGTTTGACCTCTGCAGGTCAAAATGTGCAAATAATCGACACTCAATACGTCGCAGCCCGGATTCAGCCCAGATTCGGGACACCTCCGATCAAGCTGAAACTCGCACACAATGTAGGCCATGACATGCCCAATCCACAGTCCAAGTCATTCGGTGGCACTCCCAGCCGTTTGACCTACAGAGGTCAGCAAAGGTCACGTGGCCCAAATTTGCACAGCAGATTGTGGCCCACCCAGTAGAGCTAGAGCGCTAAAAATGGCACCAATCGACTCGCCAGCATCTAATCTTACTTTCCCAACACTCATTTGACCTCTCAAGGTCATGCGATGACCTAAGGTCATTTGTGGGCTATGTCGAAAATACACTTGCACAGCAGTTTTCGAGTAGATGGATTGACCGAATTCCAAATCAGAGCACATCATCGGGTAGCCCATAGGCCGTAGTAACTTTCCTTCAAAACCGCTTTTCGATATGTGACCCCGTTTGACCTCTGCAGGTCAAAATGTGCAAATAATCGACACTCAATACGTCGCAGCCCGGATTCAGCCCAGATTCGGGACACCTCCGATCAAGCTGAAACTCGCACACAATGTAGGCCATGACATGCCCAATCCACAGTCCAAGTCATTCGGTGGCACTCCCAGCCGTTTGACCTACAGAGGTCAGCAAAGGTCACGTGGCCCAAATTTGCACAGCAGATTGTGGCCCACCCAGTAGAGCTAGAGCGCTAAAAATGGCAACAATCGACTCGCCAGCATCTAATCTTACTTTCCCAACACTCATTTGACCTCTCAAGGTCATGCGATGACCTAAGGTCATTTGTGGGCTATGTCGAAAATACACTTGCACAGCAGTTTTCGAGTAGATGGATTGACCGAATTCCAAATCAGAGCACATCATCGGGTAGCCCATAGGCCGTAGTAACTTTCCTTCAAAACCGCTTTTCGATATGTGACCCCGTTTGACCTCTGCAGGTCAAAATGTGCAAATAATCGACACTCAATACGTCGCAGCCCGGATTCAGCCCAGATTCGGGACACCTCTGATCAAGCTGAAACTCGCACACAATGTAGGCCATGACATGCCCAATCCACAGTCCAAGTCATTCGGTGGCACTCCCAGCCGTTTGACCTACAGAGGTCAGCAAAGGTCACGTGGCCCAAATTTGCACAGCAGATTGTGGCCCACCCAGTAGAGCTAGAGCGCTAAAAATGGCACCAATCGACTCGCCAGCATCTAATCTTACTTTCCCAACACTCATTTGACCTCTCAAGGTCATGCGATGACCTAAGGTCATGTGTGGGCTATGTCGAAAATACACTTGCACAGCAGTTTTCGAGTAGATGGATTGACCGAATTCCAAATCAGAGCATATCATCGGGTAGCCCATAGGCCGTAGTAACTTTCCTTGAAAACCGATTTTCGATATGTGACCCCGTTTGACCTCTGCAGGTCAAAATGTGCAAATAATCGACACTCAATACGTCGCAGCCCGGATTCAGCCCAGATTCGGGACACCTCCGATCAAGCTGAAACTCGCACACAATGTAGGCCATAACATTTCCAATCCACAGTCCAAGTCATTCGGTGGCACTCCCAGCCGTTTGACCTACAGAGGTCAGCAAAGGTCACGTGGCCCAAATTTGCACAGCATATTGTGGCCCACCCAGTAGAGCTAGAGCGCTAAAAATGGCACCAATCGACTCGCCAGCATCTAATCTTACTTTCCCAACACTCATTTGACCTCTCAAGGTCATGCGATGACCTAAGGTCATTTGTGGGCTATGTCGAAAATACACTTGCACAGCAGTTTTCGAGTAGATGGATTGACCGAATTCCAAATCA